CTTCTCTTTCCATTACAGACTACCTCCAATCTACCAGCAAGTCCTGAGAGTCTTCCTTCAAAATCGATACTGGCTTTTTTTATCTTTACTTTTCCTTATTTCCACTACGACCACATCTGAGACCCCACTGCCTTCCTGGGCTAGAGCAGCCAAGTCGTCTTTTGCTCTCCTGCTGCTTCTCTTTGCTCCTATAGTCCACAGTAGAAGACTATGAACCAAAACATGTCACTTCACGTGAAAACCCCTCTAGAATCGGCTCATTTGGCTACAATTAATTCCAAGGGACTCAATATGGCTCACTGGGCCCCTGATTGCCACTACTCTGCCTTCATTTACAATTTTTTCCACCCTTGCATCAACTGCTAATGGAGCAATGTGCTTTACCTTTGAACTCACTGCTCCCTTTGTCAGGAATGGCATCTTAGGCATCTCCAGTGCCTCCAAATTCTTTCCCTATGGTATCATCTTCAAGAGGTTTGACTTGACAAGCCAGCCCACACACTGTATAGCCTTACTTTGACAGCAGCGTCTGCCACCTACTTTATATCTTTGGCCTATTTGCTTATGCTTTACTGCCCCTGAAAGTAGGGAATTAACCTATGTGATTTGTGGCTTCAGTTCAAGCACCTGGATAGGACTGAGAATTTAGTAGGAGAATAATATCTGTTTCTTGGATTAATCTGTCATGGTTTGACTTTATGATGTAAGTTAGCAAATCAAGCTGTCCTCGTAACTCAGCCACATTCTCACAGCTGATCTTGGCTTTACATATAGGCCAGGCTGATTCCACAGTCCGCAGGACTTCCCTACCTTCTCGGGGCAGGTTCACTTTAATTCCGTATTCACACATGAAATAAGACTTAGCAGCACAACTAAATAGAAATATTGCCTACCATCTATATTAATCTTCTATGGATAAAGTGACTAGGGTAATGGGGGTAGGTGTGTCAGAGACAATAAGGTTGGCTCAGGATAGAGCAGAGTTCAGAGCTGTTGTACACAGGGTCGCTATAAGTTACAAGTGACTCGACAGCATATATCAACAACAACATGGATACAGTTATGATTGTCCTACATAAACATTTTTTCCCTTTGACCCACCTACATCTTGAATTTTTCTCATTGTCCCTTTTGCAGGTGCTTCTGGATGACACATAAGCTGCTGATTGACATCCCAGAAGTCTGGAATTTCTTAGATGTTAATGTAGGAGGATGACCAAAATGAAACATTAATGATTTCCTTTATTCTTAATGGATGGCTAGCCATGAAAAAAATGAAAGGTTTTTAACCCTTCTCTTTCATGAAACATGACAAGTTTTATGTCCTAAAGTTTTGGGGTTCTGCTGCCCCTGAAGCTGTCATGAGGTAAAGGTAGGGGCTGCACCTTCCATGGTTTGAAGATGTAGAGAGAACTAGACTTTTTCCATCTGTGGTTTCTGCAGGAGTTCAAGGCTAGCACCCACTCAGGCACAGACCAGTACCCACAGCACACTGAGTCGACTGTGTGTCACAGGAGTTCTATAAGTTTTCAAAGGCTGCTGCCTTTTTGAATGTAGTTCATTAGGGCGGGTTTCCCCTGGCAGGTTAAAACCTTCAGACTTTAGGTTAATCGCTGAGTGCTTAACCATCTGAATCACCCAGAGATCACCCTTACGCAGGTAGAGTGTCTCCTTAAACAGACTGGGCTCTCTATGGGTTTAGGGAAACTGGGAAGAAAACGGACTAGCCCTGCCATGGTGGGCAGAGAAAGTGGTGTCAAGCCTCTTGTGTGGACTGTGGACCAGCTAAGTCTTGGGAAAGGTATGACTGAGCAAACCACTTTTTGGATTGATGTCACTGAATTTTGTATAGTCCAAAGAAAGAGAAACCTCCACCCTAGACCCTGTGACAGAGATAACACAGAAAATATGGGAGATGAAAGCTGAAATTTGATTCAACTGGATTTATAATGCTATTAAATACATTGTTGCTTGACTCTGTATGCTATATAGTACTACTTGTAATCTCTGGAGTCTGTAGGTGATGTAAATGCTTATCAGGCTTGGCTGCTAACTGAAAGACTGGTGGGTCTAGTCCACCCGAAGGTATCTTGTAAGAAAGACTCAAACAGTTATTTCAAAAAAATATCAACCACTGAAAATTCTAAGAAGCACAATTCTACTCTGTTGCATTGTCATGAATTATTGTCCTTGTTAGGTATATATGGGAGCTCTGGTAGCCTAGTGGTAAGTAGTGGTGCTGCCAACATGAAGGCATGCAGTTCAAATCCACCACCTGCTCTGTGGGGAAACAGGAAATCTCATCCTGTGTGATTATTTTGCCACTGAAAACCCACTGGAAAGCTAGCTATGGGTCTGTTCAAACTCAATTGTACACAACAACTAGGTGTATGAGAGTACTTGTGGCCTAGAGTTGTTCTGCAAAGGCCTTGCCTCTCTAGTAGTTCAAATCCATCGGTGGGTCCCTGAGAAACACATGGTCAATCTCCTCCCAAGTGGTTTACAGATTCCAGAAAACCTGCTGGAGGATCAGCTATGAGTTGGTTCCAACCAATGCAATGGCAATGAGTTTTCAGTCACTGCAAGTACCATCAGGTTTGAGAGAAGGGTCTTGGTATTTTTGGGCCCAGGGAACCCACTCACCTGAGTGCCACACCTGGAAGGAAGTTCTCTGGCTAAGATTCCATCATCAGGAAACAAGGCACAATAGGATCTGTGCTTGAGCTATTGCATTTGGCTCATCACACATTTTTCAAAACTCAAAGGCATTGTCATTGAGTAGAACTGGCTCAGAGCTGAACACAAGCAGGTTTTTGGAGGCTGTGAATTCCACGAGAGAAGACTTATCTCACTTATCTCCTGTGGACCTACTGGTGGATCCAAACCACTAGAGGGGTACAACCTTTGGGTTAGCATTGCATCTCCCTAAGGACAATGCAACCAGAGCTCCCCAACACACATTTCCAGATATCTATATTTTAGTATTCAATGTAGGCAGTAAACAGTACTAGGTATAGTTTGCTGCCAACTATTCGAAACATAACATTACTAGAAAGGGTATTTTTTCCACACTTAACACAGCATGCCTTTCTGGATACTAGCAGGGTTTGCGTGGTGTCCTCAACAATAACCATAGAGTGATCTACCCTACATGGAGTGGAGGCTTTCTGGATGAGGGGGAAGGCCTCCTTCTACTATTGCTAAACCCTACTGGGGTCTCCTCAGAAGCAACTGTGGAAGGAGAGAAGACATGAAGGCATCAATTCCCTGCCTGCTTACAGGAGACAGACACAAGCATTCTCAGATAAACATATTTGATTTGTGCCCCTTCCCTGTTCTCATTGTGAGGAGGGAAAGGAATTTGGTATACTCATCCAACCTTACCTTGAAGTCAGGTTGCTGAGGAAGAGATGGGTCTATTTTTCTAAAGCTTTCTAAATACCTTTAATTAGCATGGGACCTTATGGACAAGGGTGGGGTTGATGTCCTCTATAACCAGGCATTGCTTTTATTGTTGGTCTCTGTCCTCTTCCTCATAACATATTCAAAGAGCTGTTCTTGAATTTAACATCTCAACTTAGTAATTTTATTATTGTTGTTATGTGCTCTCTAGTGGATTTTCAGAAGCTGTAAATTGTAGAGGAGCAGGACTGCCCCTCTTCTTCCCAAGGAGCAAATCCAAACCATGTGCCTTTGGGTACCTGGTGCAGTGGCCACCAGAACTCCCTTAGTAAGTATAGATTTTTAGGAAGTGTTTTCTAAGCCAGTCATGGCATGACCATGTACAACAGCAGGGTTGCACAGCCCTCTTTCTTCATGCAAATTGGCATGCTCAATTTCACTGTGTGGCCACTGTGTATTTTGAGTGCCTTCCAAACTAAAGACTCATCTTCCTGTAGAAGACATTCTGCTGGAATTTTGCAAAGATTTTATACCACAAATGATTATCAGGACATGGGTATTTTTTTTTATCAAGAAGAACTGACATCTGTTTTAGAGACATTTTTGAACCTGTGGAATCTTGGTGTGCTGCAAATGGCTCATCTGCTCATGGCACAAAGTGCTCCTCTGCTGACTAAAAGATAGGTAAGCCAAGTCTACCCATAAGTGCTTCAGAATTTCAGGCCTGGGGATCAATTTCAGATAAATTGGCCATTGAAAACTAAGAATCAAGTTCTACTCTGATACACATGAGGTCACCATGAGTTGGACTGATTTTATAGAAGCTGCTTTAGTTTGAACCAATTATTTCATCTTCTCAAGGATCCCAAGAAGAGAAATGCTGCCTGTTCTCTGAATGTCTTCCTAATCGAAATATTAAGGAAAAGGAGGCAAAGCAAAGTCAGGTTTTTTATTTCCCCAACATAGAGACTATAAAAAGTTAGAGAAGGAGACTAACAGGTAAGTAAGATATGTATCATTTAGTAGCAAATAACAGGTATATAAGACATGAATCATTTAATTCTAGAAAAGCTATATCAGGTGAGTATCGTTCATCTAACTTTTAAAGCCTGTGAAACTACAACTCAGAGAGTTTACCTAACTCATTCATATACATGAGAAGTAACAGAGGTCTTCTATCTTTTCCAAACTTCCTGGCCTTCCTTACCCTCTATTCTGTCCTCATGGAGGAAAACTGGATAGGAAAAGGGAAAGAAGCTAGGTAAAGAAGCATGGGGTACTCGTAAGGAATGGACTGGCATTCCTGAATTAATTCTAAAAGCAGCAGGGAAATTCAGGGATTTCAGCACTACAAGGCCACAGCCACCTACTTCTGGCCAACCTTCAGTGGAGCAGATTCATTTATAGAGCAGTGGAGCATATGGAGCAGGATATTGGGTCCAAGTGTCCAGAACCCTAACTGAAAACTGCTCAAAGCACAAAATCCAAGCTGGAGAACACAGTGCATTTCACTTACTCATTGATAAGTGAGGCAATTTCAGTTCTTAATATGTCTGCAGAATGCAAGCCTGTTACATCTGATGTCCATGGACACTCACCTGCCTGCTCCAAAGCAACCATGGTCGCCTGCTCAATCAGGTCCCGCTCAATGAAGCTCCTGAAGTCTTCACTGTACACACTAAGATCTGGTAACTGGAATGTGTAGATTGGCATTTCCAAGGGAAACTGCTCGTTGTTGCATTCACTTGCCACATGGGACCTGGCCAGTGAGACAATGGCTGAGCTGGCATGAGAGATGCCCCGGGAAAGTCGTTTTTCTGCAGGTAAAGAAGGAAAGATAACCACAGGGACTGACAAGACTGTAGGTATAGCTCAACACACACACATACATGTGCACATGCACACAACACACACTATCAAATATAAGTACACATCTGCATAGCTGTGCACACACATCCAAACACCATACACATGCATACACACACAGCACACATGCACACACATACACATGCAAGCACATCTGCACACAACTTAATGCACATAGATATATGTTGTTTTTTGCCATTGAGTTGGCACTGAAACAGCTGATCTTCTAGTGGGTTTTCAGAAGCAGTTAATCACATGGGAGAAGACTGCCCATCATTGTCTTTGGAGCTATGTACCTATGAACCTTTGCTTTTGCAGCACTATCGCTTAACTCTAAGCCACCAGAGCTCTCTACACCATAAGCATAAAAAGGACATATGTAAAGGACACATACACAGATACACAGAGCACACACATACAAGCACAATTGTACACACTTTATACATTTGTGCATGTACATGTGTGCACATGCTCGCTCTCTCTCTCTCTCTCTCTCTCACACACACACACACACACACACACGTTTTCTCCTTACCAGCTTGAAGTTCTTTTTTCTGCAAAAGCCTTCTACCTGCTGGGCTAACATCCCCATGGCCTGGGCTAACATCCCCATGGCCTGATACACTTGCTTAATCTGAGAGAGACCACCTCACAGGGTTTTCAGTGGCTAGAATTTGGAAACTATATTATTAGACCTTTTTTCTGATATGCTGCTTTGTGGAATTGAACTCACAACTTTTCAGTTAGTCATAGACCCCATTAACCATTTGTATCTCCCAAGGACTCCAGGAAGGTAGAGTTTCCCTTTTACTCTGTACAGGAAACTATGTGTTTGAAAATTAGTATTATCAAAATATGGTTCAAATCTAAGTATATTGATGTATGTCACAGGAACTTCATTTCAAATTAGCATGTCTTCTACCCCCAGTATGGACTGGCTGCAAACCATAGCCACCCAGAAAAGCGAAGACTCATTTCCACTGAAAAAGGGGTTTTCTACCTTCAACCTGCAACAGCAAATGGTATAGCTGCTATTAAATACATACTGATTTAATTTCATCTGGTTCTGTTGTGATGGCAACTCTATTATTTATTTGAGTTGTGTCTTATCTTTCTTTTCTTTTGTTAAATTTTTATTTTATTTTATCGACCTTTCAAAGAACTAGCTCCTGGTATTATTGATGTTGTTGTAGTTGTTATGTGCCGTCGAGTTGCCTGCGACTCATAGCGACCCTATGTACAACAGCCCTAAACTCCGCTCTGTCCTGTGCCAATCGCACTGTCTCTGACACTCCCATCCCA